AAGTGTCTTTTACAGGATTTTGTTGTCGTAGCTAAGTAGACAACAACTTCATGTTCTGCTCTAATAACTTTACTGTTCAACTTGTGAGAATGTGTGAGTAAAAGATAAAATGTGAATCGGCTAACTGCTCATGCATTATCCATCTAATCATTCTTCCTCAGACACTTTGATCACAACGATGTTAAAGCCAGTTTCAAAAAGGGTAGATGAATATTCTGATATGAAAAGAGAAAGAAATTATAATTCTGATTTCTATGGACCAGGTCTCTCTACCATTCGATAAGCCATTTGTCATGATTACATGCTTCAAAAATCATATAATATAAATATTGCTGTCAAAGGTTTCAAAATCCAAGGAATGGTTTGATTGATAATGAGGGGGTTTATTATTTTTTCTTAAATTCATCCTTTGTACGAAAATGCGCATCTTGAAGGAGGAATTAAATTTTTGCCTGTTTTAAACCCACTTTTTATTAACTGACATCCTTCTTGTGACTACCGAACACAAACTTGTCAATAAGACTAAACTTTTGCATTTAATGATGTTTGAAACAAGGGCATAACTCACACTCTCGTGGCTTAAAAATCTAACACAAATTCACCTGTCAGTCAATATAACAGTTGCTTGAAGGTCTTCCAATCTTGACCGTTAAAAATTCCAAGCCACTTTGTGTGGTGGCACGAATCGTCAAATTTCGCACGATTGTGCTATTCCCCAGTAACTAGCTCCTATGACATAAGTGACAGTCCACCAATGTCTTATCACTTACTGTTTTCCAAACCAGCAGGGGCTGATAAGGTTTCACCAGAATCATTGCCCATTTACTTACCGCACGTAATTTTCCATGAGGAATTTTCAGAAATTCTAAGACGTAGATGTAATTTTACCCCTCAGATATCTTGTTTCTAATAAAAAGCGGGGGAAAGGTCCACTCGCTTCCTTCTTAATCTTAAAAGTAATTAGTATCCTATGTTAACTTAGTATGCGTCACCTCAGAAAAAAAGGCAAGTTTTTAAAGGTACAGTTCAACTAAGTACAGCATAATTAAGGATAATAAGATGAAGATTAGAAAGTACGTCTTTACGAACCGATATTTAACACTGCAACTGCTCTAAGGTGTAGATTATTTTTCCCGCCTATCAATTATTGAATGGATGTTCGACCAGTTGGTTATGAATCTTCCAGTCACTTTATATGCACAGGTAGATTTGTTTAAAACTCCTTCCAAGCGGTTCAAACTCCCAAGTGTTCAAATTTGTACAAAGATAATTGGCTGGAGTTGGGTAGGTTACGCATTAACTTCTCAGGCATTTTTTCCATTTAAGCAGATATGTCGGTTGGAAGTTCGATCAGTATAGTATTTACTCCTAAATATATCGTATCATCATATATGTGTACTACTGATATTTGTTACTGGGAACCTAAATTAGATTGATGCGATGACGGAAAATGAGTTCTCTTTTAGTCTAGTGGGCATTGTCACTTAATGCAGAAAAAAGATACAGTGAGTCTGCAGATTATAACAATCTGATATGCCCAACTTTTAAAGAGAGGTGTCATATGATTATATCTAAATATCGCTTTAAAATTCCCGAAATGGCATGGAAATTGAAAAAATTTACAGAAAGCTTTTGACTTGCACCATTATCATAATTTAGAAGGGCTAACCACTGAAAATCGGAATATGGACTTCGAATTGCTTTTCGATGATACGAAGGCGTTGTTAGAGGGGAATGTGTCACTTTCCAGAGTGAAATGAATGAGATACGTCTAATTTTGGAATATTCATACATGGGCCCAGATATTGATAATTCTTCATAGATAATGCTCTGTTCAATATGACTTAAGATTTACTCAGAAATTCTGCCTTTCGTCAACACGAAAATATTAGACACCTTGTCGTTTATTATTGACCATGGATTATTATAAAGCTCTCTTTCTCAGAATGGCAGTGCTATTTAACTCGATGAATGATGTTTAAGTCGAATTAAAGTCACTTTTAGTGGTTGAAGTGGAAAAAGTAAAATTAATCATCGTAATACAAGTTAGGCTTAACCAAAAGTAAGCTGCGATTTATTTTTTGCTTTCTGAACATTCATATCCCTAAATCATAATCATTTAAAGAATAGGTTCTGCAGAATTTCAAAAAATCTATATATTATCGATTTTAAGTAAATATTGGCATTGGAGGTAACTGTGACCTTATCGAAATCCCGTATCCACACCTGAACTTTGATTTTTATAGTTGAGGTGGAATATCATTAAACTACTTACCACTTTGTTGCGCTGTTTAACGATAGTCGTTGGGGAACTATTAAGACTAATAATAGAGATCACTAGTATTTAAAATGCATCTCCCACTGATTAAGGAAATATTTCACTTGTCAATAACTTGTAAAATTTTTCCAAAAATGTCTTATTTTAATCACAGTTTATCAACCCATTTTATTCGGAGGAAATTACTTAGGCCTTTCACTCTTTTCCAAATCAGTTACACTACTGGATTTGAAGCAAATCTTGTTTGCAAAATCTTCGTCCAATTTACAGAAAACAGCTGATCGTTAAATAAGATGGGTGGTCGACTATAATTGAAATAATAATTACGAAAATCGATTATATTATTTGACTCATAAAGTATTGTTGAAATCATATATACATTTAAATAAACCTGTACTAAGCCTTTAAAATAGATAGAGCTTATTTTCACTGGAAGACCTTCTAACAAATATGAAATGAACTAGTAGAATTTAAACGATGGTTCCTATGTTGCTTGAGAGTTCAAGCTTCAAAGATGCATTGAAAAATAAAAATTCTTTATCTAGCTGCCGTCTAAAATTGACCCCGAAACACGTTTTCTGGATCCAGCCTCTTCGTCAAGAATTTTGAGGTAACACGTTGGAAGAGAATTTGCACCAGTGATAGCATTTGGTGTAAAATCTATGATCTTTTACATCTTTGAATCTCTCTTCTGCTTTCCCTCTCGAATTTTTCTCACTTTGATGTTCCTCCCCTCTGTAAAGCCCGAAGTCAGCTAAAGGGCTAATGATAATCATCAAAGCGCCTGCCATTTGATATAAGTAAATAAATAAATGATCTTCAATAGAAATTTCCAGAAAAATTCTGGTGAGATTCTGACCAAAAATGTTGATTATTACTTTCCATTTTGGAGATATGCCAATTTAAAGTTGTGTGAACTACGAACAGGTGAACCAAGAAGATTCCACCTCGGCGAAGAGGAAGACAGCAAAATTTCCCTTTTTTCTGCCAATAATTGACCAATACTTTCTTTTGACATTAGTCTCTTAGATATTTCTCTTTTGCTCTCATTTTAAGAATTATTGTCGGATTTTATTCATTTTTACATTTATATTAGCAAAAAATAAAAATTTTCCAGGTGCTCAGAGTGCCAGGAAGCCAATAAGTAGTTCAAGTTTCAGCAAGCAAGGTGGCATGTTCACTTCCAATGCAGTATCTACGGTTTTTAATAGTCAATAGAAGTTTTATGAAATGAATTCCAAATTTATTTAAAATGTATGATGTTATCGAATTAAGATCCAAGCCAGAGCACCGGTAATTTGTTTAGTTGCTAGCACAGATCACTTTGATAACAGTAAGGTTATAGTCAAGTTTATTGCCTATGAAAATATAAAACAGATTGAGTAAACAAGTTCCCATCCAAGGTAAGTATAATATATTTATGTGGATAGGGGTCAGATATAAGCAATAGATCAGGTCAATCTCGCCGCTAGTAGGTACGGTTAAAGAAAAAAAAATATGGCCTGAATATAAAATATCTCTTTGCTAAAAGTCAGTCACGTGTCGTGGCCTACGCTTGGCGCGATGATTTGTGCCCGCTCATATACAAAACACTAACGTAGAGCTGGAAACTTTTGGCGAAATTTTACCGTCAATAATTTCTGAACGCTTGGCGTTGATTGACAATTCCTTATATAGGAAACTATCAAGGAGAAAATGGCTGTATAATAGGTTTAAATAAATACAACTAATAAACAGTAAATAAAATATAAAGCTTTTGGTAAGAAGGAAATTGATTTCAAATAAAGTGTAAAATAGATGAGATCCGAGACCTCATTGCTTATCATTTCTTAACACATATGAAGCCAAGGAAACCCGACAACGATTACTCAAAAATTGAACAAATTGCTAAGGAGGAAAATTGGCTTATATTAAATAAATCAATTGTATTGCTTAAGTTTGGGTTAGAGATTTCATTCCAATTACTCGGATGCATTTATAGTTTGCTATTTAGTTAGTTGAAGTGAGTTAAGGCTTATTTTGTCTAAAATGAAATCATATGTGAAAATATAATAGCGTTTCCTAGTAGAATTTATGATTTTGACATGTTCAAACGACTATTTGTCAATTGCCGTTATTGAAGTGCCACTTATGAGCGCTTTTACAACTGTTAGAATTGGGATATTATGAAAACAAAGTAGTTACATAAAAGAATCTGATACAAGGAGCAGTAATAATTAAGATAAAATATGTGGGAATTCATCTAAATGTGAATGCTAAATAATGATTTTTTATTATAAAGATAAAAAGGTATATGTATAAACGAAATACCTGATGAAAAGCGCCACCAAAATATAAATGCTGAAAATTTTCAAGTCATTGAAAGTAAAGTCAGAATAAAATTACAAGTATAAAGATCAAGTTGAAAATTTAAACATTTATTGAAATAGATAAATTTCATTGCTTGCTGAAAGATGGTAGAATACAATCCTCTAATGGGTAAAACAAGATTTTCAGAATAGTTAATCAAGTATTACATTTTCATATAAGTAAGTTTCGATTTTATAAATACACGGAAAGGTTAAAAGATATTTTTTATATCTTCTGTAGAGATATGTAGATGAAAGGTAAATAAATTACATGAACTTAGAATAATTGGTTTATGTGAACTAATTACATAACCTTGGAAGTCCCACAAGTCCTTCGTTCGCCTGTGTGATTTTTATACATCGTTTGAGCTTGAATGTCAGAGCGAGTACTTTTAGGTCGTCTCCCGGGGGAACGTTCAAGTTCTGAGTACAATTTATCTTTCGCAGGTTGTGGTTTCTTGAGCGTTTATTATATCGGGGTCATATCATGTATTAAGCGCTTTGCACCTCATCTCTATGACAATCAGACTGTTTCTGGAGCTAGTGCAGGCGCACTTGCTGGTGCCTTTCTGATTTGCGACGTTGATCAATTCTCCGTCGCGGAATGTTTGATGGATGTTATTAATAGATCGCGGGAATACTGCCTTGGGGTGTTTGATCCACGATTTCATATCATGCAATACCTCAAAGAATGTATGGATCGTCTTCTACCCCCTGACGCGCATATCCGATGCTCTGGACGTCTCTTTATATCTATGACACATAAAAAATCTGCAGAAAATCGTGTCGTTGGTCATTTTAAAACCCGAGAAGATCTCATCCGTGCAATTCTTTGTTCATCTTTCATTCCAGTTTTCGGAGGTTTCAATGCCCCTGAATATAAAGGCGATGTTAGTTTTTCATTTCACAACCTATTCATTTCTAGTATTTTATTGATGGCTGTTTTTCCGACAATTTACCAAATAAAAATCAGCATACGATTACGATTAGTCCATTTTGTGGGGATGCTGATATCTGTCCGCGGGATGATATCTGGGAACCAAGTGAGCGAGCTACTGTCGCCGGGCATATTTATCTTTCACAAACCAGCCTTATTCTCAATTGGACCAATCTAAAACGTGCTATCAATATCGTTGTACCGATGTGCTCCGAAGATCTTTGTGAGCTTGCTTGCAATGGATTCGACGATACTCTACGATTTCTTTTAATTAGAGGTAAATATTCTTTTGTTGGTTTTTGTTTTATTAAATTATTTATCAATTAATTAAACTCATAATTTTAAGTGATTTTATCTCTATTTTTAAAGTATATTTCTGTATTTCCAAATTCAATTATCTATAATACTGAAAATTCTTTCTGAAAAAAACAATCTGACTCATTTTCAGAGTAGGGTTCTGCATATGGTAATGTCTTACTTAGAACAGCTGATGATGTTTCCCCCTCAAATCTGATTTTTCTTTGTCATAATCTAAAATATCCCCATAAACATTAGCGAACCTGTCATTTCTATTTAGACAACCATTAAATGGGTTGTTGAGGCGTACTTGATTCTGCACCTCGTATCTTTTATCTATTAACGGACACTAATAATCCTATCCAGTTTAGTTGCAAGTGTAGAATCTGTTCATCTAGTACAATTTTTAACGTGTTTCACCTTTTGGAAATTTTAATTTCACCATTTTTTTCTAGGTATAATTGCCTGCCCCATTCACAGAGCTCCTTGCTTAAATAACAATCATCATCGTACAGGAGAGCTTGAATCACTCCCAATGCGGAAAGAGATGACTAGAATTACAAGTACGAAACTATCCAAACGACTTAAGTCACTTTCTCTATCACCCATTCCAGAAGCTGTCTCTTCCCCTATGATAAAGGGAGGCTCAAGAAATCTCCTATGTGAACTCACGAATCCCACGAACAAAAGCTTTTATCACACCACATTCGGTAGCCGATCTCTGGCTGTGCCTGAATGTGACTCCTGCAGAATCGCTATGCTTGATTCTTATAGCTCTCAACTACCCACTTATCTTTATGATATTATATCAAGCAAAGATTATGGAAACAGTCCAACGAATCGTCATGAACAGAAGGCGGAAGCCTCTTTGTGGTGGCCCTTTCCGAGGATTTCAATGAAAATTTTACCTGAATGTGTTTGTCCTTCCTCTCTGACGCACCATCTTTTGACTCAAGTGCTCTCACTTCTTACTGCGTCAGTTAGTCTGCAAGTCTCAGCCGTTCAGTCTATGATTTCTACGTAAGTAGCCAGTGGCGCAGCGGTTAACTGCACATTTATATGCCTATCAGTGTTAGTTAGTTAATAAGGTGGCTGAATATGCATTTCTTATCAAAGAGGCTCTTTGGTGTTACCCTATGCCTGAGATTAACTTTCTAACGTGCTTTACAGAATGGATTTGGAGTTATATTTATTCTTTATCTTTTCCTAGTTCTCTTACCAGATGTAGTTGTTCGAGAGAAGGAGAACATCTTGAGTCCTCTGGTTTAGATGTTGTTTGGGAAAATCCGTCTAAGCTTTTCATCAACAGTGCCTCGGGCGTTTGTTGTTTACTGGACTTTAATAGCTGTTTATTTATTTATGCTTATCTGCTCATTCTAATCTAATTGTCTTCGTTTATGTAATAATTGACGTATTAATTGAACGTATGACATAGGCCAATCCTTTAATGGCGGGAAAGTTATTATAAACTAATGAATATTAAACTGCTATTAGATTTATTTGTTACTTCGAGAATGTAAGTGTTATTTGTAGTGAACTTGATAAAATAGCAAGCCTTGACTAGATTCAATAATCTCTGGCAGATTCCCATATGTTTAGAAAAGCTCCCAGAATTAGCTAAGTTTCCCCAAAGCTATGGAGGAAGCAAGCGTATGATGTGTAATGGGTTTATTCGGTATAGCCGTTGTGGTGTCCGGTTCAAATGGGAAACTTAGTCATAATGTACACTTCCTGACGTGATAACCACATAAAAAACTGTGGTCATTGATTGCTCAGATAATCACGTACTGGCTGTAGTTGCTGATTGGTCTAGAGGCCTCTGATTTTGTCTTTCTGAGGTTGTGTTCCCTACACATTGTATAGTGATGTTGTTGTAATAATTATTAAAAGAGCTCGTTTGGTCAAATATTTCGTTATCCAAATTTATCCCATTTTAAATATCGTTTTCGTAGGTAAGGTATTTGAACCCATTTGGCAATTTATGTTAACAATACATATCCACATTCTAAAAGCGGTGTCTCTACATCAATTACCATTGAAACCAAAGGGTTTTGACAAATTGAGTCATTACTTTAATGTGTCTAATCTTGGACATTCAAATTTGTCATTTTTTTCAACGTTACATTACTGTGCTGAATTTTTTTTCACTACATGTTGAAAATTGGCTTCCGGTCAATAATCTTGGAAATTAGTCAGGCAAATTTATGTCGACTAATTTCTCATAAAATAAAGCTTATTTTAAATACATTAGTACTAAAGATTTCCCATCAGTAAAAAGTTCTTCATAAACTATCTTTCTAGTATTATATTAATGGTTTTATACTGCTGTCATTCAATGTCTCCTAGAAATTCTGTATTTAATCAGATACTTATATATTTTCTCTGCTAATTTTACTATTATACGAGCTAATTTGAAGAATTTTTATAATAATTACTTGATTATTAATTTTTTTATATGTTTTATTTGTAATAAGAACTTCTATCGAAGCTTTCACAATGTGGTGTATAAAATTAGACCAAGCAACGCTATGCCATTCGTGCTAAGGAGCAAATGAGGTGACGAGTTCAGAGCACTTCTTAATCAATCACAATGGCCAATAGTCAATACAGGGTCATCATACCCGAACTCCATGTTAATAATCAGTACCGGGCCCACGTGCAACCCAAATAAACGCATTCCCCGTCACACTTCTGTTTCTATATGGTTGAGACAGGGTGGCTAATTTGAGGAAGCTATTCCCAACTTGGAGATATTGTCATAGAGCTCACTGAGCATTAGTCAAGACAAATTCGTGTAGCAATCCGCTGCAATGATCAGAGTGTATGGCCTTTACTAAACCTTAACAACTCTCGCTAGTCAGGATCTTCTTGTTTAAAATTGTTCCTGAATTTAGCCAATTCACTCAAACGGTATCAAGGAGACAGAACATACGGAATAAACAGCTTGTACACTTACTTCTTTTTAACTGTCATAACTGTCTTACCCATTAACTACAACTAGTGCTACGTTGCAGCAACTATTGATCTTTGGTCGGCTGAGAGGCCTCTGAACTCACGATTGTGCTTGCTCACTACAAAATCAGTAGCGTAGCTGAGCCTTCTAGAGATTGTTTTAATGAGCATAATATTCTTTTGATCAACTTTGGTATTGTTGTGCACTTCACAAACATTTTCTCAAAAGTTTAGCACAACGATTTTTTGGCACTTTTTTATTCGTTAAATCTTCACCTACTTTAGTGATTTCTATCTGCTTCTAGATGTGTAGTTGGCATATATGAAGTCTTTTACGTGTCTCCAAGGCTCCAACGGACCATATAAACACTTTTTTCTGATGGTGTGATTTACTTCAAGGTCAGCGATAAATTATAAGCTTTTTTTAGCGTTCATGAATTACGAAAATTGAATCATGTGTTTAGTGCCTTGCATTTTGTAATAAATCTCATATTTTCGCCCTTTCTCTTGAATGTTTTCAAATTGTGGGGCTAACCCAGTCCAGAAATTATTTTCGTTCCGCTAATAAAGACTGGTAGCCATTAATCTAGATCCTTTTTTCGATGCCCCGTTTTTTGTGTCATTTCTTGCCATTTACGGTTGAATTGCTTTCAATCATTCGATACCATTGATTGCGGCTTTCATAAAATATTTATGGTTTTCAGAGATCCCGCTTTATTAGTTGACTTTTATTTGAGGTTAACCCTGATATTTTGTGTAATTTTCACATTAGTTTAAGGCAAATTTTCTAAATAACTAACTCTCCGATTAAAGATTACCTAGTGGAACTGACGACTTTAATTCGTTTCTCCTAACTGTTAATAAGAAGTCATAGCATTATCCTTAACTAATAGTAACTGGCTACTTGAAATTGAACTTACACTTAGACGGATGGGAATTATTTTCCAAACCTCCAGGAGATTCAATATAACGATATTGATCTGTGATCACTCTTCTGTTTTTTAGCTTTGTCGAATTTATCAGGAGCCTTCCAAATTCATCCACATCAACTCTACAACCGATAGTAAATCTCTTGACCTCCTTTAAAGAAACTCTGGTAACTTTGGTAGTGAAGGGGACTGTGCGCTCTGAAAAACTGGCAACTATTCTTCGTTTCAATGAAGGTCTGAATACAACCTTCAACTGCCTCATTGGCATGATTCGTTCGAATTTACTCGCTTTCGTGCCATAGCCCTTCTTACGTTATTCACCGAGCTCCAGGCTTATGCTGAAATCAGCTCGCCCTTTCAACTAAGTCTCCAAAGAAGATTGTGAATACGTTTTTGAGGATTAGGCCAACTTGATAGAGAAAAGGTCATTACAATTTCATCCGTCCTTGTCAAACATTTCTGATTTGATGTGTGA